GGAGTTAATATTCTTATTTTTTTTATATGCAATTTATACTTACTTCATTTTTGATGTATACGTCTACACTGTTTCTGTCTAACTGATTCTAAGTGATGTGCTGAAAATTCTTTACGGTATTGCCGAAATATCTTTCAGAATAAAGCTATAATAATAATAATTATTATTTAAAGGAATTTTCAGGCTTTTCAACTTTCACAAACCGATTAAGTTTTGTACAGCTGATACTTCTTTGTTCACTGGATGGAGAAGGCTAGTTTCTGATTCTTATTCTAAATAAATGAAAATGAAAAACTCCCAATAAAAGATACAGATGAGAAACATTTCAGACAAAATATTTACATTGGTTTCTTTCGTTACCTATGGTGCAAAAGCATGGAAAATGAGTTCCTAGATAAAGTACTTTTATAACGATATCTCCAATAAATCTAACTTTCACAGACTATACCATCTTCGTAACCAAAGTATTCATACTTTTCAGTGGGTTTTGAATTATATCCCACCTCGTGGTCTTTCTAAATTCGCATTCATAGTAGTTTATTCTAATCCTTATGTACAACTATTGCAGGTCACTGGTATCGAATGTAGGTGTTATAAAGGCAGTTAAACTGATATGCTTGTGTAACATAATTAATAAAGATAACTGCAAAGTACAATTTGGACACATGTATTAAAACACCAGTGCACCAGCTTATGCTTTTTCACACATGAGTCATCTATTATTTGATTGAGGGCAAACCAAGATATTAACAACCCTTTGACGAATAGTTTTCCTTCATCTTCTTTTAGATTTACAGGTGGATAGCAAGTGACTTTAAAGCCCACCCTAACAACAACAACAACAACAACTGAAATAACCAATTGTAATCCTTTTCTCCACTAAAGTCTGTCTTTCCAACCGAAACAAATAAATCTAATTGGATATTTCAGTCGTTGCTAGGATGGTCTTTAGAGCCACTCGTGAATAACATGTTCACAACAAATTATAAATGTACAGCAAAGCCATCCAGGTTATAGAGTGATGAACATAGTTTACACTTAAACGATTATTACCTTACAGTGAAACGCTGAACAATAAATGACGGGCTTTTAGAAAACCTACAGAAATAGTTACAAAATAATACTGCTCAAAAAAACTAAGTAAATTGTCATTAGAAAATGACAATTGACTACAGAATACTCAAGTTGGTATTCATCATGGGCTGACCTCAGTTGAAAGAACATTTGAAACCTGTGAGCATTGGAGAGTTGTTTTGTCATAGTATGGGACTCGTCAGCAGTGCGCACCCATAACCTAAGACCTTCGAGTTCCGTGGCCAGCAAGTTTCTATTGAGCCACTGAGTAGGAAACCGATGGTTGCTTATCGACTGGAAACCAGTTACCAGGCGTCTGTACTGTCAGAGTGAAGGGATCTGTAAGAACCAGAAAGGTTCGTGAGAAGTGACGATGCATATGCATAATCTCCCCTACATGCCCACCAACCATAGCTCGGATTATCTAACAAATGAATTCTATCAGAAGCTGCTCTTTTCGCTACAGAGTTCAAGACGTTCAGATATAGTTATAACAGCAGGCGGATTCAACGCAGAGAGGAAACCTGAACAAGTCAGAAAGGCATCATGGAGGTATTTTTAGAATCCCATGCCAGTGAAATGACAAGGGAAATTACACTTTTGGCCAGCACTAACCTTAAGCACGAAGAAAGTTACTGCCTTATATGGCGTCCGCCGACAACAAACCAAGTATTGATAGATATAGATCATATTGCTGTAAGCCAAAGTTGAGGGACAGCTGATGTCTCTAAAGTACCTGTTTGGACCCCGATCACTCCCTGGTAAGGGCTCGTGTATGTCTGCGTCTCACTGCTATCAGTATACGGGTGATAGTGAAGCCTGTCTATGGTCGACTGGAAGATGAGAACATCATGTCCACATTTGGTAAAGAGATAGCTAAGTATTTTTCTGGACGCGACGGCAGTGTTCATCCTGAGGAATCCTGGCGTGACGTGGTGTTGTCTGCTGTAGAAACAGAGGTGAAGGCAGCTGGCAACCTAAACCCAAAGGTTAGAAAACGTCATTTGCCTTCCACAACGTCATCTGGACTGATTGGTGAGGAAAGACTTCAGATGGCTCTGACCACGATGAAGAGCAAAAGCAACTAAAAAGCGAATCGACTAGGTCTTCGTAATTACCACAAACTGTGGTGAGTGGTGAGAGAGATTGAGGTGTTAAGTAATCCCTGGTGTGTTTACGTTGATTAAAGACAATGATAAGCGAATTATGGTTAGTGGAACTATCACCGAAATGAATGGGACGCTGATAACTTCCCAGTACATGTGGCTAGAACGTTGGACAGAACGCTGTGAAGCATAGTTTAACTGACCCACATCAACTCTTTAGCTGCCTAACCAGCTGGAACCAGAACGAGACACAGATGTTAGTCCGACTCTACTAAACAATAAACAGTAGCGGGACGACTTGTCAGCAATCCTTTTAAGGAAGGAAACAAGTGACTACAGAGTGGAGTAATGGACTTGGTAGTGTATGAGAATCAAGGGTAGTGTCGTCAGACTGGTCTACTTCTCTGATCATTCCAGTCTATAAGAAGAGAAAAGTCCTCCTATGACAACCATGGCTAATATCATGACCAAGATTCTGGGGTCCATAGTCATCAAACACCTCGTTTGAGCTCAAGAAAACCAGGCAGGTTTTAGAACTGGACGAGGGTAAATTAGTTATATTTCCACCCTCCTACAGATCCCGGAACACAGGGATAGTTACCAGCAGCTAACACTTACCATATTACTTGAAATGAACGGGGCATTTGACTGTCGACCGTGAGGTGTTGTGGCAGTGTCTGAATATGAGAGGCGTAACCAGCAAGTATATAACGCTAATCAAAGAGCTCTGCTCGAACTCGCGTAGCCTTGTTACAGCTCATGGAGAGTTGTGATCTAAAATTGACTACAACTTGGTGCCCGCTAGAATTGGCCGCTGTCACCGTTCCTGTTTAACTTCATTACAGATAAACAAATCGACACAATCTTGGGTACCTCTGAATACACAGAGATTAATCGACCCCCCGCAGAGCGTGTGATTGATTATGTGTACGCAGACAACTATCCTGCTAGATGAAGATGCTGGTGAAATCCGAAGTCTTTTGAATGCCTTGAACAGAAATCTATGTATGTTTGGTATGCATCTTGGACCTGCTAAATGTATAGTGGTACTTCAGGACTGGTCTGAAGCTACTCCTAGTTTAAAGATAGATAAGTAGGGCGGTTGAATGCGTCTAACACCTCACTTCAATGAGTCACATCGGTCCGAACAAGGTGGTTCCTGACAAAATTTCAGCTCGCAAACGTAAGGATCGTTTGGTATCTGCTAAATCGCGTCATCTCTGACTGGACATCCAAATATCTATCAAATTTTATATATCAACTTTTCCCTTGAATTCCTAGTGGAACATAGGGCTTCAGTACCACGCCTCGATTGCACTCTCTTCTCTGCAGTCTTTTCAACCTGGCTCCACGATTGCCCACAACCGTTCATTTCTTCCTCACACGATCTCCTCAATGTCACCCTCGGCTCCGACGCCCAACTCGTCGTTTCCCTCTTTGACTTCAACTCAAGTGCCTGGTTCATGATGTCTCCAGTTGACTTCCTCAGTGTATGTCCAATCCATCTCCACTTTCTTCTGCATATTTGTTGGGTGATGGGTTGTTGGTTGGTTCGTTGCCCGGCTACAGTCCCTCGTTGATTATTCTTACTACTCTGGCCGTCTGATCTTCGGTATCGAGTGAGTTTAAGCGGTAGCTGTTGATGTGATGTATGTCTGTAGTTTGTTAAAAATGCTTTTCATGACGCGCCAAGTTTCTGAGCCATACAGAAGCACTGACTTGACATCGTTTTTGAAAATCCGGATCTTGTTCTTTGTGTTGAGTGTTGTGGATCTCCACACTGATTCCAAATTGGTGAAAGCCTGTCTTGTTGTCTTTCCGATCCTGGTTTTGACATCCTCGTCTGTGCCACATGTAGTTGGAACGATGCTGCCCTACCTAGCTAGATGGGTGAAAGAGACAACTTCCTTTGAGTTTCTCCCGTTAATGGTGATTGGTGCTTGTTGTTGATGCTGTTGTTGATACTGTTGTAGGTTGGGTATCTTTATCACCTCCGTCTTCTATTAAAAGAAGAGTATAATGCAGTATCCTGCCATATGCACGTGGGGCATGGACGTTAGAAGTAGGAGATATGAAAAGATTATAGGTTTTTGACCACAGATGTCTTCTTCGCTCTGCTTACGTATGGTGAAATCAATACGCTAGTAATGTAGAGAGGTTAGGAGGAAGGTACCAGGCAAGACATTTTCGTATGTTCACTAGGAATGTCACATAGTTAAACAGTATCATTTACTCGATAACATTTCGAAAATGATTTATTGTCCGTATTAATATCAAGGCAGGGAAATCAATTGTGAACCTTTAGCAACAGTGATGCGAATGTGTTGCGTAAGCCGATCCACCACCTAACTTGACGCACAATGCCAGGGAATGTTAAAAAGCTCAGAGTGACCAGACCAAGAAGTGGCACGACTCCATGAAGTCTCTTACCTGTTAGTGTGAGTCGTGTAGACTACCTGACTGGAGTCCTTTAGACCATAGGAATCAATGGCTGGAAACTCTAGATGTCATGGTTGAAAATTGGTCACAATGGCCCAGATGTATCCACTCTTTGACGTCTTCTACACTAATCATTTTAAACTCCTCACCCCATACACCTTCGTTTACTATATGTTTTTTCTATCCACTTGTTCTTTACATGCCACTAAAAAGTGTCAACTTGAACTGATGTACTTGTGTGTGTGGGTATCTGCGTTGATTTTGTCTGTCAGTCTGTTGTGAGAAAGAAAACATGATAATGAAAACAGAAACATGGAGTACTCTGACTGTATGAGTATTTCATAACTTTAAAGTGACTCATTAAAAATGTAAGGCAAATTTTGATCGGCTAGTAAGTTTATTGTATTCATATAAATATGATAAACTAAAGTCCACAAGCTTGTTTACGAATAATACCCGCAAAGAAGCAACGGAACTTATATGAACACATAAATAGATAAAAGTCTTTGCAATACAAGTACGCAAGAAGGACTGTTATTCTTACATAGCTCACTTAAAAACTTTAGATAACGATGAAAAGTAATGAAGAAAAGTATTGGGTGATTTTATGACAGATGCTTATTTCACCAAGTTAGGTGAAAACAAAAGCCTTGATGTAAAACATGAGCGGAAGTCCAGTAAGTAGTAGTTTAGTTTCTAGAGAAAATTAAATAATTAAAAGAAGTTCACACATTCCACAAATACACAAGAAGCAAAAATAAATCAAAAATTTCAGCATCCAAGTAATGAGAGGCAGATAGTGCTAATGAACAAAGACAGTAGCAGGAACCATTACTGACAATCGGATTGACATATATGTGCCTAGAAGCAATAGGAGTACCGGATGTTTACAAATGAATTCGATTAAACTCTTCTGGCTCTTCAGTTTCAGGAACGGTGAAGCCATCCTACAAATAACAAATACGAAGAAAAAGATTATCTGATAAGAATAAGAAGCAAATTTTCCTAAAGTATTCACAATAGTACTGTGAAATATGGGATAAAAATGTATGCAGAGGAAAACCATCCCTTTGGCATTTGATACAAGCGGCGAAGTTGTGGATCGCTGGTTTAGGCGGTAACGTTCTAACTGATGGATCACAGGTTTAAACACCGCTCCACCGACCGAAGTATGGCCAAATAGGTAGCATCACTATTCCTCACAGAACAGCTGCGATTTACTGGCTACTTCACAAACAAATGAAAGGTTGCTGAGTACGTTTCGTTCGCTTTTTATTGATACAAGAGGTGCACAGCTCAAACATCTATCGTTGCTACAATCAAATTTCCCGACAGATTCCTGTTACCTTGACGTGGTGGTCGGGTTTGTATATTGCAATGACCCAACGAACTACGCTTGTAGAATACATGTTCCCTTGAGGTCCTATCATACCAGAAAGATCTATTTGATAGTGGTACAACGAAGAGCAGTTACCGCTGCAGTACAAATTACTACACTATGATGAGGGTCTGAGGGCGAAAACGTACGGCTGCTACCTGGTTGGGGTGTGACATAAGAAGACTAGTAGTGCCACGTTGACACTCTCTTCCCCATGGCAAGGGGCGTTAAAAAAATTCAGCCACAAAAATAATACCTCCCCTCATGGCATGTCGACGCTTTCAACAGAGATTCGTAGTCGAATTAAAAAGCAAACAAACAAAATCCTAAACAGATGTCCCATGAGCTCTAGGGTCACACACGATCTATTTCTTCTCAGGTACATCCAGAAGAACTAGCTTTCCAAGGTGAAGGAAACTGGCAAGTGTCCACAAGAACTCTCCTGCGATAATAATAATCCCTCTAAAGTCAGACGATAGGAGAGAGAGAGAGACTTCCATAGGTACGTCTATGATGGAGTTGAGTGAGAACAAACGAGTGGACAAGCTTGACGAACACTGTTGGACGTATACAACCCAATTAATAGCTCACCATAAACTCTAACGCGTCCACGGGTCTTCGAGTGAGGCACATGCAGCAGAGTGATATACATACCCAGTACTACTTTCAGTAGGAGACACTGTGATAAGACCTCTGGACCGATAGGGTCGAATGTCAGGTCGAAAAATACAGCCCGGCCATTACTTTTCATATAACACACATAGAGAACGCATGTAAAAGAAAGTGTCTGACAAATAACTTACTTCCGTTGCATATAGGATTTCAAAGATGCTTTTGGTTAAGTCGACGTTTTGGTTTTGCTGACAGATTATCTCAATGGTTCGTAGTTTGTTGAAGTAGAAATCCCTTTCACGAAGCAATCCGTCAATAGTTGTTTTGTTCTGTGCCGCCTACAAAGTAAAAATAGAAAAACTGTGAAGAAAAATAACGCATATTTGGCATTCTTATTGACTCTCATAGTAAATTGGGAAAAACAAGAAGAAATATGTGTCTGGAAAAAAATAAAGCGATATGTCACGAAACATTAACTGACTGCAGATCACCCCAAGTAAGCAGAAACGGAAAAGATGATGGATGTTGTCTGTGACATTAATATAGTGCTACAAATGATGCAACTCAATAGTAGTGCAGATCACGGTATGTACAATGAGTTACACAGAGAACGTTGCAAATGGACTAAAAATATGAGCCAACATGTAATAACTTACGTAAAAGAAATTTAAGAAACGGTGACTTTTAGAAGAGATCCCCACTTACTGCTTACTGTGTACAACAACGGTAAGGTAAATCCTCCAGTATAACATGTCGATGCTGTCTTCTGTCATCTCAAGAAATCTAAAAATATCGGGGCTTGTGATATTTCATTGGTGACAATATGAACGTCTATACCATGCATTCACCGGAATCGAAGTCAAATTTCAGACTGCCATGAAGACCATGACTGACTAAACTGAAGCAAATGGCCCATCGTTTTTGCCTTTCTGGTTACCGCATTAAGTATGTCCCTTATGGCTTCCTCATCGTCTTATTCTATGATCACGCTTACGATCCAAACCAATGAGACACTACTTCCAGTTTTCTAAAACCACGCTTCCAACTCAATATTGGGGCTTTCAATGTTTGAAGAGGAGGTCGAACAGAACATCTCAATTGCCCAAACGCAAGCGACACACACCGATGGTTTGAGGAGTGTAGAGAGATGTAAGCTGCTTGGCTGGGGTTTTCTGAAGATTTTAGAAACCAATGGTTGGAGACCCCTAAGCGGTCACAATAGTGCAAATGTATGCTATCATCTACTGATCCTCTCGAATTCCATGTTTTCGTCTACCTTCATGTCATTCATTTTGTATCCATCTTGTCCTTTGCAGGCTGCTGTGAAATGTAGCAACCTGAACCTATCACATCTCTATGCCAAACTCTATGTTGGTCTGTAAATGTCATTAAACGAACCGAACACAACAAGTAATCAATCTTATCTGGATGCTCATATCTGATGAGGAAATATTTTTTAAGCATAGATTATGGAACTTTCAAGATTGAAAATAATTAGAACATAAATGAAACTTACATTCACTCATCAAGCATACGCATATACGATGAAACGACATGTAGATGAAGCGTAATCATGCTTTTTGAAACACTTATACCCAAAATCCACTACACAGTTAAAGCACCGGAAAACCACATTCAACAATCAGTACGGTATCTGTTCACAAATAACACCACACAATCAACATAATCTAAAAATCATGAAATATGCTATACCCACTACAGTGACACTAATCGTAGACCTTTTTGCTCCTGCTTCGGTGATGTCTAAAAGACCGTCCACTTTTACCCATAGACGCGGTCTTCTCCATCTTTTAAGCCTTAGCTGCATATCACATCCCATAGTCAGTGCATGGACTCTTCATCTGTCTGCTTTTGAGTTGCTTCCGATTCTCATCGCCTTTGAAACCCGCAGGAGCATGTTCACACACACCCATCACTTCAAAAGAAGCCACTGAGATCAGTTGACCCTGAACGTCAACCAACGTTTTTACAGTATGCTACAGTGATAATACCAAGCTTCTTCAAGACCAGTAACGTTGTCTCACTACGATGACCATTTAGCTTGTTCCTCATTGAAAGTAGCCTTTGGATTTTCATCAATGAGCAGCACTCAAAATGGCATTTTATAGCTGAAGTCTTCCCACGTCCAAGTAAATCCAGACATAAGTGGTTACTGTTCAAACAGTCTTCGGATGGAGCAGCAATCTCACAACTGTCTTCAGTCCCCACTGTACTGCTCAGTCGGATACCTCACTGATCACTGTCAACTGGGATCCATTACAGCAATCAATTTTCTACCATAGAGCTTAATACTTGATCTACACCTGTAAGACAAGAGCAATAGGCCATCGAATTTCCAGGAACTTGAGAAGTAATTATTTCAGACTCCATATGTTGGCCCTACGACGTGAACCTCACCTAGTTAACAAGGTGACTAGTTACTAGCCAAGCCTAAGCCCGGATAAAGAGAGAAGGTTGAGCATAGGGCTAGCAATCCTATCCCGTAAAATCAATCCAATCGCTAAACAAACTTCAAAGCATAAAAGAAATACAAAAAATAAAAACAAACTTATTTCTCTCTGGAGTCGGGGAAACGAAATGACGCCGGTTGGTGAAAGCCTTCGGGAAGCCAATTGGTCGCTGTGTTTTCTCATCTCTCGATGAAAGCAAAAGTAAACATGGGAACACGGAATGTCAACAATGTTTGAAGCTGGCTGGAAAGGCTGTCCAGATTGCAAAAGAAATGAGGAAGTATGGCATAGAAGTGCTAGGAACCTGCGAAAGCAGATTGAATGGAAGCGGACTCTCCAAACTGTCAACTACAGAGTCAATAATCTACTCCGATATTGTCACCCAGACGACAACAACGATCACACTGAGTTTTGGAGTGGCTATCATCATGTCCCCAACAGCATCAAAGGCTCTTTCTCTCTCATGCAGTGGGAATCAATCTCCTCCAGCAGGATCAGGATCATGACACCAAGATTCAAATCAAAAGGAAGGAAAGTTACAACAGTACAATGCTACGCTACGCTACGCACCTACAAATAATGCAGATCAAGATAAGAAGGAGGAATTCTACAGACAACTCCAATCGGTACTAGACAAGACTCCAGTTGGAAACATCAAAATTCTAATGGGTGACATGAATCCCAAACTCGGAGCGGACAACACAGGAAGAGAACTCACCATGGGTCGAGAAGCACTAGATAAAATGATGTATGAGAATGCAGAACTGTTTGCAGACTTCTGCGCATTCAACCATTTGGTCACTGGAGGCAGTGTGAACAAATACAACGATATTCACAAGGCAGTGTGACATGCATTTCACCAGACACCAGGACACACTACACTAAAAATCAGATCGACTTCATCTCAATCTGAAGAAAGTGAAGATGCAGCCTACTGGACACAAGATCAGATCAAGAAGGAGAGCAGATGTAGCTTCACACCACTCACCATCTACTGCAAGGAACCTACCTACCTACCTTCAAAATCAAGTTGAAAGACTTCACAGAAGTTGGTGATAGACCACAGTTCAAGTTCAACACCCAGAACAGAAATTGAACTGAAGGACGAAACTACAAACGACATCTTCACGTCAGTCATCAGCACACAATGGGAGACACTGACCAACATCCCTGAGGGAACCTGCGTGGAAGAACACTGGAACTCTTTGGAAGCTATGTGGAAGCAAACCTGCATAACCATGTTAGGAAGGAAGAGGCAACAAGACAAGGAATGGAATGGGGCTCCACGGATACATGCCAGCTGACAGAGGAGGGAGAGGAAGATGGTGGGGCAGAAGATGAACCAGTGCAGTGCAGTGCAGTGCAGTGCAGTGCAGTGCAGTGCAGTGCAGTGCAGTGCAGTGCAGTGCAGTGCAGTGCAGTGCAGTGCAGTGCAGTGCGGAGATGAACAACGAAGAGAGGAACTGAATACAACCTACATAACACTACACTGGACAAAGAAGTGAAGAAGAGTGCGCGCAAACACAAAAGACACTTCCACCACACACTAGCAAGTGAAGTAGAACAGGCTGCTGGTAGGAGAAACCTGAAAACTCTGTATCAAATAACCGGGTTACTTGCCATCTGAGAAGATGTCAGAGCAGATGAAACCAATGAAAGATAGTGAAGGAAACTTAGTTACCATCAAAAAGGAGAAACAAAGGAAACGATAGACTGACCACTTCAGAAAAACTCTTGAATCGATCACCACGACCACTACCACCTGCCACTCGTCCAGAAATACCATCAGCGGCCCAGACACACAATTACCAGTGAACACAAGCTCTCCGACATACAAAGTCTCGAACACCACGTCATAAAGTTGCTGAAATCCGAGAAAGCAGCAGGACCAAATAGCATTCCACCAGAAGCACTGAGAACACATACACAGGCAACAGCAGACATGCTCACACCACTATTCCTGAAGGTTAGCAAGCAAACAACAAAGGAAGGAAGGGTACCTGCCGATTGATTGCACGAAGCACTACCTTGTCAAACCCCCAAAGAAGGGTGACCTAAATCATTGCAACAACTGCCGCGGAATCATGCTCATGTCACTGTCCACTTCAAGCAAAACATTAAGCCGCATCATCCTGGAGAGACTAAACAATGCTCTGCATTCGAAATTACAACCGGAACAGGCTGGCTGGCTGGCTAGCTAGCTAGCTAGCTAGCTGGTTGTCTTCAGGAAGAACAAATCATGTGCACATCAAATTGCAATGCTACACTACGCATCATCATAGAACACACCAGAGAATGGAAGTCAACTCTCTACCTCAACTTCATCAACTTTGAAAAGGCCTTCGACAGCGTCGACCGAGAACTAATCCAGCAACTGCTTCGACTCTACGGTCTTAGTGCCATTCAACAGCTATAAGCTACATGATGTCATATGCCAAGTGATTCACAATGGAAAGCTCAGTGACGCCTTTGAAGTGAAGACTGGAAGGAGTAAGACAAGTAAGGCTGTCTACTATCACCGATGATCTTCTTGATTGTGGCCGACTGGATCATACAGCAGACAACTGTGAGGAGCGAGATGATGGCCTTACGCTGCTTGGACCGATGAAGAGACGATTCCAGAAGATTTGGATTTCGCCAATGATGATTTATGTCTAATGTCGCACAAGCTGGAAGATCTACAGGCGAAGACCAACAAGTTGACAGAAAAGGTCATGCAGCCAAGACGAGACTTCCTTCAGGTGAACGTAGAGAAGACGGAGGTGATAAGATACCCAACCTACAACAGTATCAACAACAGCATCAACAACAAGCACCAATCACCATTAACGGGAGAAACTCAAAGGAAGTTGTCTCTTTCACCCATCTAGCTAGGTAGGGCAGCATCGTTCCAACTACATGCGGCACAGACGAGGATGTCAAAACCAGGATCGGAAAGACAACAAGACAGGCTTTCACCAATTTGGAATCAGTGTGGAGATCCACAACACTCAACACAAAGAACAAGATCCGGATTTTCAAAAACGATGTCAAGTCAGTGCTTCTGTATGGCTCAGAAACTTGGCGCGTCATGAAAAGCATTTTTAACAAACTACAGACATACATCACATCAACAGCTACCGCTTAAACTCACTCGATACCGAAGATCAGATGGCCAGAGTAGTAAGAATAATCAACGAGGGACTGTAGCCGGGCAACGAACCAACCAACAACCCATCACCCAACAAATATGCAGAAGAAAGTGGAGATGGATTGGACATACACTGAGGAAGTCAACTGGAGACATCATGAACCAGGCACTTGAGTTGAAGTCAAAGAGGGAAACGACGAGTTGGGCATCGGAGCTGAGGGTGACATTGAGGAGATCGTGTGAGGAAGAAATGAATGGTTGTGGGCAGTCGTGGAGCCAGGTTGAAAAGACTGCAGAGAAGAGAGTGCAATCGAGGTGTGGTACTGAAGCCCTATGTTCCACTAGGAACCCGAAGGACAAATAATAATAATATAAAGTGAATAATTCCACGTGGGCTCTGTATGCATAGATCATAACCACAGCATGGTTACAGACGGCTTTTAAGGGAGCCTGTTTATTAAGGGCTTGAAAATGCCTTCCGCTACCGAAGGACGACGGGCAGTTAAGACGGCGATGTTTCCAGGAGTGTCCTTTTATTACGTGCCTGTCTTATAAACAAAATGAGCGTGAATTGCTGACTATCCACCAGAAACACTTCACTTATGTCACAACAAGCGCAGCCAGCAGTACAGCTTCACGGTTGAACCACCACTATAATTTAAGCTACTCACACTATGACTAACTAGAACAAACCTTTATCGGATGTGACTTCAAAGACCTGTCCTAACGGGCATACATTTTGGGTCACTGTAATATTTAAAATCTAACATAATGTCAGTATAATAGTTATCGTTTAGACCTCAAGATATTAAGAATCAATGACTAGAGATTCTTTTTGACATGGCTAAAAATCTATCACAATGTGATGGGAAACATGATTATTTCCAGAAAACCTAATACATCACAAATAGTATTATCACATATTTTTTGCATTATTAGTATTTGTGCATAAATAGATTTACACAACTAAATTATTAGTGAGACAAATCAATCTACTAATAATCAGATTATTTTAAACTATCTACTGACTACTTCATGAACATCATAAGAGATGCGATAAACTTCATGCCTTTTCGGTTTGTTGTTGATTGTCCGAGTGGCTAATGGACTTGTAGATTCCCGTCATCCTCTGCCAAAGTTATGTATCATGCGGAGCTAGGATAGGTTACCAATCGGTGTCAACAGATGATTGTATCGTAAAAGCATGTTAACACAGTTCACAACATGGAACAGATATATTTACTTCCTATCAACAAAATCCTGAAAATCTTATTCAACTTCATTATTCATTCTCACTTCTCTCATACAAAGCTACGGTACATTTATTTTGTGATGGTTTGTAGCACCATCTAGTTGTCCAAAAGTGATTTTTTAATTGGTGATCAATGGAATGAAATTCAGCATACCACAGCCATATACGAGTGATTGATAGCATTTCGACAGACTCAGAGCGACATGTCCCTACATATTAATAGAGGCGCAAAAGTGCTTAAAAGAGGCTAATTGACATTTATTGGTTACTCACATTAGTTAAAAAACCATGGTAGATATATTTAAGCGACATTTCAAAAAAGCAGAGCAAAAGACTTTAGTTAATTAAAACATAACTCGTACGACACAAATAAGGACCATCTCTTGTTGAGAAAACCCCAGTCAGTGGTAAACGTAGAACAGCAATACAGAAACACCTGAAACCCTTCCGGAAGGTGATGCAGTATTGTCAGTATTATTGATGTGAGTGGTGTAAGTGTTGACGGAAACTAATATTAATGATTATAGATTAATGAATATTCGACAGCTTTTATAGCTTTGAATCAGTGGTAGAAATACTTTTTCCCTGACACTTTCTCCAACTGGGTACCACTAAGAAACACTCCTACAGGATTGGCTTATTATTGTCATCATTATTAAAGTCGAAAGAATAACACTGGAATCTAGACAACTATTATTTCCACACAGTCATTTGCTTTAGTTATTAGCGAAGAGAGCGCCTATCACTATTTCAGTGAACCAACTTTCTCATGAAAATTCTATCGAGCGAATAGACAATTGGCAATTACTTGAATATACCGAAGAAAATTACACCATAAATTTACTACAAGAAACTACAACTTCATAGAAATATCTGCAAAAAATATCACATCATAAAAATCAAAGGAGTCATAGAAGATAAGAAAAACATTTATCTGAATAATTCAGAGAAATTAAAAAACAGTGAGAACATGTAGAAACCAACCTCAACAGTAAGTTGGTCAAATTGCTGCTTCAAGATAGCCATTTCTGTGTTATCCCCAGCAGCACAATGATGATTGTTGACAGATGCTCCCGAAACAACGGTTGACAAGTTCGTGCAGCTGTAACTGTCGGGAGTGCGAAAAAAAGGATTACATTCATAAATCAGGATCCATACATTTCTTGAAATGAAGATTGCAAGTTGTTTACTTTTCACAATAACCATTATTTGATTCTCATGACAAAGACTAAGAGAACAAATCAAAACGAATATAAATCGGCAAACGAAAGTAACCACATACTTTCTATGTAAACCTGTAATCGACTAGATAATGTAACAGTCCACGGCCCATAGCAGACGTAGTGATTGAACTTGTATAACACAATGACCCAGCAAATTACGCTGGTGGAACGCTTGCTCACTTGATGTCCTATCATATCAGAAAAGTTCATTGGATAGTGGTAAGAAGAAAGCAGTTACAATTAGTGTAAGTGACTTCGTTATGATGGAAGTTCAAAGAAGAAGTACGAACTTCAGACATAGACACCCTGATATGGCGTCTATCAGTGTGAACTCAACAGTGGCACAAACCATATTCCTATCAATTATCGCTAGAGAGGTCGGTGGAAGACCGCCTAATCCATCTGAAATATGTGTTTGGACAGAGAACATGCGTCTGTCTGCATCTAAATAGCAAACAGATACACAGACAAAATTAACGTACAGCCTGGCACACAAGTCCACCTAATCAAGTTTCAACACTTCAAAGGAGTATACAAGGAACGGGCAGATAGAAGAATAGCAATACCAAAGAATACAAAGTTGCGTGAGAGGATACACAATATGAAGATAAAGTTGAGTGCGAACATGCAAGCTTTAGAAGATACCAAGGAGTGAAAACATCTGCTCCATTGTGACCGATTTTTAGCGATGTCATCAAGAGTCCTCAAACCCTGATTTCTTTCGTCCCGATGACTCCAACCAAACAGTATTTATCTCGTAACACGGCTCAGACCAACCGTCAGGGATTTTATCAACTGATACTACGCCTTGGTTTGGCCACTGAGCTCTCTTACAACCTAACCAAGCTTTCTCTAGCATGGCCAGTTGAGGAAGGCGGTGGTTCGGTTCGCGCAACATACAATCAAGCAAACTCATCAGACGAAGATTTACCACCACATCAATCGACTTCCCTATCTTCCCAAGTACCGCCAACATTGTTCACACGGTGATTCAACCAAAGGGGAGAAATGCTACGGAGACAGCTGAAATCGAAACCCTACAACCGCAATATTTCTTCTATTTTCGACAGCCGTATAACACGACAGAACGGACTGCAGTGTAGTATATTCTCTCTTTAATATGTAGTGGAATATCTCGCCAATCGGCACCACAGGTGACGCAAGTTGATTAATGACAAACGGACATTTTGTAACGCAGCTGAGATTTCGTCTGCAATCACACCGTCCGAGATTATGCAAATCCCGAAGAGGGAGATTTGGTCGACACATTCAAAAACTTCACTCTTTATCATTAAGCTGGGAGTCGTCAAACACCTGTCGTAGAACATCGTCTTGCATTTGACAGGCGTGAAATGCGAGCGAGCGAAATACATTCAGGCCTCTGTTCACCGCGTCCAGAAAACCCTACATTTTGTCAGCGTCTTCACATAGCAGGACAATATCATCTGCTTACTCCAAGCCAACCAGATGATCCCAAGCGAGTAGATAAAACTATGCCGGAAGGCGGAAAAACGATCGATGGACCCTCGTCAATGTCTCAAAACTGCCTGGTTTCCTTGAGCTCCACGTAGGCGTCCGACTTCCTACCAAAGGATGAGTATATTGCACTGTCGACAGTTCTTTCCTGTTCTAGAGTTGCGAGACATGGCCGCTGAAACTAGAAGACATGGGGCGGCTACAGGATTTTAACTACAGATTTCTTCGTAACATTGGTCGCGTTTGATGGAATCACCGTACCGCACATGCCGAACCACCACCTACCTCGACGTGCCATGGTAGGGGAAGCTGGATTAGGTTGGAAGAGGGTTCAGAGTGACCAGATCAAGACGTAGCAGCAGTCGATGAAGTCTCTTACTGTTAGTCTAAGCCGTGTGGGGAGATGTAAACTGCCTGGCTGGGGTCTCCGAGACGAAATAAATCAGTCGTTTATGAGTCTTGGTGACATGGCTAAAATCGGTCACAATGGCGCAGATGTTTTCACTCCCTGACATCTAAGGTTTGAATATTCGCAATAATCTTTATCCTCAGATTGGTCATTCTCTCACACTACTTTACCTTCCTTGATATCACTTTTTCTGTCCATCTGTTCCTTGTGTACTACTGTGAAATGTGGCAACCTGAACCGATGCATCTTTGTGGGAGGTTCTACATTGATTTCATCAGTCAGTCTCTTAGGCGTCGGATCACTAAAACTGTGGATCCTATGATCTTGAACACAATATTAGTCAAACAAATTACCCCACAGTTTTCACACGAGGACTTCTCTTCCCTCATGTAGACAGGAATAGTAAGAGTAGACCAGCCTAATGTCACTATCTCTGATTCTTGTACACTACGTAGTACCTCCGTTTCTTAAAGCTGCAACTTCCTACTTCCATCCTTGGAAAATTTGGGTGGCAAACTGTCAGATCCTGCTGTTCTGCATCGTTGCAGATTCGATACACCATTTTCAACTTCAAGGAAAATCGGAGGATCAACATCTACCTTTTATTCTGGCTCAGGCTGGATGTTTGGCAATTGAAGTCCTCCTGGGAGTCAGTTGAGTTGTGCTTAAGTGTTCTGCCTAACGATATAGTTACATGTGCTGGGAGGTTATTCACGCCACATTCATTTCGGTGATGGTTTTATTAACTACGGTCTTCTCCTTGCCATTACTCTGAATAAGTCTAAATAGTTGTCGAGTGTTACCCAATTCTGAGGTCTCCATATCTCTCGCTTTCGCTGCTAGTGATGATTACGAAGACCCTGGTCAATTAGTGTTTTAGTCGCATTCGCTCTTCATCGTCGTCAGAGCCATTTGAAATGAGTCCTTACGCGCCAATCAGTTCAGACGACATTGTGGAAATCAAATGACGTCAGCTAACCTTTGTGTTTAGGTTGGCAGCTGAGAAACATCTCAAACTGCCATCTAATATGCCTAGAAGACTCTGTATCTTGTCACCACTTTCATGTGACAGGACAATGTCATCTGATTACTCTAGGTCTACTAAGGAATTCTTCTATGATAATAACAATGCCTCTAAAGTCAGACGATAGGAGAGAGAGAGAGACTTCCATAGGTACGTCTATGATGGAGTTGAGTGAGAACAAACGAGTGGACAAGCTTGACGAACACTGTTGGACGTATACAACCCAATTAATAGCTCACCATAAGCTCTTACGCACCCGCGCATCTTCGAATACACAGCCTTGAATTTACTTCCCGGTCACCTCTTTCTTCTAAGCTGATGTACAGCTTAATTGGTGGATGCACGCGGACGCATTCCTGCATGCTGCGCGACCAGATTGAGTAGCGGAACCAACCTATGTAGACTAACAATAAGTCTACACATTGACCGCGAGCAGTTGTGCGTAGCTAAGACTTATGAGATAGAGAAAGCAGTGGTGACAGGGGACAGCTATTTATCCTTGTCAAGTAAACTGGCGTGAAGAGGTCAATGCTTAGCAAGACTGTACCATAAAAAGATGGACCTGCGATTCACTCGCAGAGGAGACGAGTGGAAGGTGGAATAGTTCAACTGGGGTGTAGCTTCTATTTCGCTACCCATGATCCAGTGGGACACAATAAAACATTGAAATCTGGCTTTCAACTTTTGTACAAGTCGAGAAACCTGTAAGTATTTAGGGAAAGTGAACGACAACAGGGTAAGATGGACTAGTAACGGAATATTCAAAATGGTGGTAGACAATAACGGCCAGGTTACCTGAAGTGCGCTACTGTGTGGGTCATATAAGATGCCTACCGACTAGTCTCAATCACTGTCTGTCCCAGACTTCAAGAAAGCGGAGAAATCCTGTTGTGATGACGACAGGAGTACTGGTGTGGCAAACATAGCCCCTAAGATTCTAGGTTCTACAATCAATTGTCTGCGTCTAGCTTGAAAATAACAAACTAGAGAAAACCAGACAGGTCTTAGATCTGGCCATCAATGTGCAACCAGATATTCACTCGTTACCAGAATTTGCAACACAGGAGCTTTTACCGACGCCCGACAAAAGATGTATTCTTTGACCTGACATTCGACCTCATCGGTCCAGAGGTCTTATCACAGTGTCTCCTACTGAAAGTAGTACTGGGTATGTATATCACTCTGCTGCATGTGCCTCACTCGAAGACCCGTGGACGCGTTAGAGTTTATGGTGAGCTATTAATTGGGTTGTATACGTCCAACAGTGTTCGTCAAGCTTGTCCACTCGTTTGTTCTCACTCAACTCCATCATAGACGTACCTATGGAAGTCTCTCTCTCTCTCCTATCGTCTGACTTTAGAGGCATTGTTATTATCATAGAAGAATTCCTTAGTAGACCTAGAGTAATCAGATGACATTGTCCTGTCACATGAAAGTGGTGACAAGATACAGAGTCTTCTAGGCATATTAGATGGCAGTCTGAGGACGTTGAGATGTTTCTTACCAATCAAACGGAAATTGTTGATCCAGGACTGATCTTTGTTGGTGCCTTGTTCAACAGTGGAGAGTGAAATGGCTGACTGCTTTGGGCACTCCACTTACTTCGATAGTCAGGTCAACCCTGACGAGCCAGCAGCTGACGAAATCTCTCCAGGGATACAAAAAGCTCGCTTCGCCAACTTGCGCCATCTGTGATATCCGATTTCCTATTATAGTAAGAGAGGAGTTCACTGCGCTGCAGTCCGCTGTGTTCTACTATATGGCTGTGAAACATGGCCACCAAAGGTCGAGGACGCGAGATCGTCTCAGGTGTTTGATCACCGTTGTCTTCGTAGCATATGCCGTGTGTCATGGTCCCACCACATGAGTAACGTGTAGAAGTCAGGTGTAGAGTTTAGGGAGAAGATGGGAGTTAGTCAGTAAGGTTATGAACCTCCATCCACTGAGCTTGGTGGATGGTTGTGTTACGCATGCCT